AATAAACGAGCTACTACCTTTTTTGAATTAGTTCATTCTGATGTTTGGAGTCCGTGTCCTATTGAGTCCAAAGGTGGGTTTCGGTACTTTGTTACCTTTGTCGATGATTTTTCCCGTGTAACTTGGTTATATTTAATGAAACATTGTTCTGAGTTACTTTCTCATTTTCGTAACTTTCATGCTGAAATTCGAACTCAATTTGGTGGCTCTCTTAAAGTTCTACGAAGTGATAATGCTAAAGAATATTTTTTTGGAGCTCTCGGCTCTTATTTGAGTGAATATGGTATTCTTCACCAATCCTCTTGTGTCGATACTCCGTCTTAAAATGAAGTTGCAGAAAGAAAAAATAGACATCTTCTCGAAACAGCAAGGGCCTTAATGTTTCAAATGCATGTTCCAAAATATTTTTTGGCCGATGCTATTTCGACGGCTTGCTTCCTGATTAATCGTATGCCTTCATCAGTTCTTAAGGGTGAGATACCTTATCGTACTCTATGTCCTATGCAACCTTTATTTCCTATTAAACCTAAAATATTTGGTTGCACCTGTTTTGTTCGTGATGTTCGCCCTCAGCTCACCAAATTGGACCCTAAGTCCTTGAAATGCATTTTCCTTGGTTATTCTCGTGTTCAAAAAGGGTATCGATGTTATTGTCCTGATCTCAATAGATATCTTGTCTCTCCCGATGTTACATTCTTTGAAAATACTCCCTTTTTCATCATCTTTGAGTACCAGTCAGGGGGGGAGTTCACAAGAAGATGATGACTTTCTTGTATGTTTCATTGTCTCTCCTTCCACTGAAGAGCTTCCTAGCAATACATCTTCCTATGTGCCTAATCCTTCTATTTCCACCATTACTCAAGTTTATTCTCGTCGGCAACCTCCTACGGACTCATGTCCTATACCAGCAGCTTCTTCGCCCGAGGATCCAGGAATAAGTGATGACCTTCCAATTGCTCTTAGAAAAGGTAAGCGTAAATGTACTTATCCTGTTTCTTCTTTTGTCTCATATAACCATTTGTCCTCACCTACTTGTTCGTTTCTTGCATCACTTGAGTCTGTATCTGTTCCTAAAACTGTTCATGAAGCTTTGTCTCATCCTGGTTGGCGGGCTGCTATGTTGGAGGAAATGACTGCCTTAGATGACAATGGTACTTGGGATTTAGTGTCTCTTCCTGCAGAAAAAAAAAACCTATCGGTTGTAAATGGGTGTTTGCTGTTAAAGTTCATCCTGATGGATCTATTGCCCGTTTGAAAGCTCGCCTTGTTGCTAAAGGATACGCGCAGACTTATGGAATTGATTATRGTGATACTTTTTCTCCGGTTGCTAAATTGACTTCTGTTAGGTTATTCATTTCCTTGGCATCTATTCACCATTGGCCGTTACATCAGCTTGATATTAAAAATGYCTTCCTCCATGGTGATCTTCAAGAGGAAGTGTATATGGAGCAACCACCAGGGTTTGTTGCTCAGGGGGAGAATGGAAAGGTATGTCGTCTTCGTAAATCCTTATATTGGTTGAAACAAAGTCCACGAGCATGGTTTGGAAAATTCAGTCAGGTGGTTGAGAACTTTGGAATGAAGAAGAGTAAGTCGGACCATTCTGTCTTCTATAAACAAACTGAGTCTGGTGTTATCTTACTGGTTGTATATGTTGATRATATTGTGATTACTGGTMATGMTTCATCAGRCATCCTATCACTCAAAACTTTCCTTCATAGTCAATTTCATACGAAGGATTTGGGAGTGCTAAAATATTTCTTAGGAATTGAGGTAATAAGGAGCAAGAAGGGGATTCTCTTATCACAGAGGAAATATGTACTTGACCTGTTAACTGAAACAGGAAAGTTAGCTGCTAAGCCGCGTAGTACCCCAATGATACCTAATTTACAACTTACAAAGGAAGGGGAGTTGTTGAAAGATCCTGAGAAGTATAGGAGATTAGTAGGGAAGTTGAATTATCTTACGGTTACGAGGCCAGACATAGCTTATCCAGGTAGTATTATGAGTCAGTTTATGAGTTTTCCTACGACTGACCATTGGATCGCATTGGAACATATTTTATGTTATTTGAAAGGTGCTCCAGGACGTGGTTTGTTATATAAAGATCATGGTCATCTTAATATTGAATGTTTTTCAGATGCTGATTGGGCAGGTTTTAAGGAAGATAGAAGATCAACCTCAGGATATTGTGTATTTGTCGGAGGTAATTTAGTTTCTTGGAAAAGTAAGAAACAAAACGTGGTKTCRCGTTCGAGTGCTGAATCAGAATATAGAGCTATGRCACAGTCGGTGTGTGAATTAGTATGGATACATCAGCTTCTGACTGAATTGGGATTTGRCATCACCACTCCAATRAAACTTTGGTGTGATAATCAAGCAGCTCTTCATATTGCATCTAATCCAGTATTTCATGAACGAACCAAACACATTGAAGTTGATTGTCATTATGTACGTGAGAAAATACAGCAAGGATTGGTGGCTACAGGGTATGTGAAGACTGGAGAKMAGCTAGGAGATATCTTTACTAAAGCATTGAATGAAGCACGAATAGATTATTTGTCTAACAAGTTGGGCATGATTAACATATATGCACCAACTTGAGGGGGAGTGTTAGAGTATATATTAGTATATTTTATATTCTTGTATTAATATTAATTTGTCATTTACCTTCTCCTTATAGGATTAGGTCAACCTAGTATATTTGTCTATATATATAGACTTTAATAATGAGAATACTGAACATTGGATTCTCTCCAACCTTAGTCTCTACACGCCTCAACAACACTGGTCCGAACATATCCGTGCCGACATGCGTCCGACACAGACACTCTGCCTAAAATGGAGTGTCCGTGCTTCATAGCTGTTTGGAGTTTGTAATCTCACAGTTCTTTTATCACAAGCTCACTTATCAAAGACCTTCAAAGCCCCATCTCACCTACCTCTCCAACAGAGTTGTTCCAAGCCATCGGGAAAGATTCCTATTCAAAGGAGATCAAATTCTTTCGATGGGAAACTAGCCTCCATGCATTAAATACGCACGACAAGCTCCAGAGAAGAATGCCATTCATGGCTTTATTGCCTCATCGGTGTCCTCTTTGTAAATGCACAAGGAATCCATAGGGCATGTCTTCATCACTTGCCCTTTTACCATAGGTCTACGGGACAAAATTTTACCCCTCTTTTGCTGGCCGATCGCTCTCCCCACAAACATGACGCTCCTACATGCTACTACCTTCCTTGGTCATCCATTTATAAATGAGAAAAGATGCCTATGACTCCATTTTATCTGGGCTTTACTATGGACTACTTGGACTGAATGCAACCAGAGGATCTTCGTAACAAAGGAGGTTACTCTACATGCCACCTTTGAATCTATAGCTTTTTTGGCTATCACTTGGTGTAAATGTTCTCCCCATTTCATCCTATCGATGAAATTGTTTCCTTTAAAAAAAATACTATTGCTGATATCAAATTCATCTTCAAAGTCTGAACAATTTTTCCGAAGGAACTAGAAGCCTTCTACTGCTGCTTGGTGGAGTTGAAATAACATTGGGAGAGAGACGAACTAACTTCACTGATTCGAGGCTTCTTTATATTTTTTTATGACTTATTTAAGAAGATTTCGAAAGACCATCTTCAAACATTTGCTCACCTTATTAAAGGCCACATTTAAATTCAAAGGGACTTTCTTCCATTTTCTCGATAATTCACCCTTATAGCTCTACCATCATTCCATTTTCATTAGATATTTGTCTATCATGAAGCATTTGGTTGTTGAACTGGAAAAATTATAAAATTTGTATAATGATAGCATATTAATCATTTTTTTCCCTCTTGGGTTGTTATTTTACCCTAACTTTTGACAAACTTTGTCCTATGTTTGTTTCTTGTTAAAGGTATGCTGCTGTTTTTGCCTCATTTGTTGCTGGTATGGGTTGTTTGGCTAGTACTGACTTTAGCGCAAGGCTCCTGGCTTCCCTTGCTAAAACCTTTGAGGTGAGCTTACATGCTGAATACATATTTGGTTTTACATGGAGGTAGAGACTTCTGCTAAAATTCGATAATTATTAAGAAAATCATATGATTTTTTTCTCTTTCCAGGACGAATACCTCAAAGAAGATAATCTTTCTTTACGAAATCTTACACTATTGCTTTCCTATTTATGCGTATTTGGAGTTTGTGCCAGGTAGGTGCAAATTATTGTTTGTTTGATGGAAGTTTTTTTTCTCTCTCTGTTTCTTTTTTAAATGCATGATAATTCTAATGGAGTGTATATTTAGATAATTTGTTCCCCCAGGGGATTCCTATTTAAATGGTTAAATCTTCATGGGAATCTGCATTTTAAGAACATCAACACAAACCGGCATGTTCCGTCCTACGGAGGATGGATTATCATATGTGATCTTCCTCTACACCTATGGAATGACACAATTGTTCCATTTATTGGAGATTGTTGTGGCGGTTTCTTGGCTATCTCTGGGGCATCATCTAGCCTCAGGGATCTTATGGAACTTAAGATAAAGGTCAAAGGCAACAACACTGGTTTTATCCCGGCCTCCATTGAACTCCCTCCTTCCCTCACACACGAAGACGCCATCACTGTCCACATCGACCCCTTCTTCATTGCAGAGAAGTTGGTGGGTCGCCGCCACTTTGCTCGCGCTGACCAGAGAAAACCCATCAAAGAGTCGCCGGAAAACCCCCCTTTGATGCCGGACTCCCATCGGAGCTGATCGCTGCACTGTAGCAGAGACCGGCCCAATCGGTCAGAACTCTTTTATCGAGGCCTCTGTCATCACTGGACTTCAGACCTCACCTGCTGCCCCACCACAGACATCCCTGACAAATTCCAGAGCGAAGGAAAAAGTTAATGACATCTCTGCACCTCTTCCCTCGAGCTCCACAGACTGAGTACAACTCCCATTAATTCTTCATGTAAATGGTAAACATGTGACTGTTAGGGATAAGCAGCCTCCTTCATCATTTTTCCATAAACGAAAACCTAACCCCCTACCATAAGCCCATTACAAGACGACTTAGAGGAGCTGGATTACTTTTCCAGCCCTCTTCTCGAAGAAAGCCCAAAATTGCCCTCCTGCAGCAGTCCACACACTCCCATCATCCCTACCATTCTCTTTGGCGATTTGCCCACCCACGAGGATGTTGACATCCCTCCCATCAGCCACCCTTCTGAAAAATCACACAACCCACCAAGCCCAAGTTTGGACTCTGCAGCACTGAAACCTCTGGCCGCTGACCCTATAAACATTGATTTTGTCGATAAGGACGTGGCAAATGCCTTCCTTTCCCCTGACCGTTTTAAGCGTTTCCTTGACAAATACTTGCAAAATCTGGGACTTTGCATCATGGCCATTCCACCGACAATACCTATTATCAAGCCACAGCCTAAAGCTCACAAATCTAAGGCCGAAAATAGAGAACTAAAGAATCTCTCCACATCTATCAACTATGAAAAGAGGAAGATTCCTGAAGGGGGGCCCTCATCAATTAGATGAAGCTTCTATCCTAGAATGTTCGAGGGTTGGGCTCATGGAAGAAAAGAGCCCTCATAAAACAGACCATTTCCCGTCTTAATCCAAACCTTCCTCTGTGATAATCAGTGGATTTTAGCAGGATACTTCAATGTTTCCAGATGGTCTTGGGAGAAATCTCATGGCAGACCCCTCACCAGAAGCATGAAACTCTTTAATTCTTTCATTGAGGACTCCAACCTCACTGGCATACCCTTGAGCAATGGGAAGTATACTTGGTCTAACAATAGGTCCTTTTCCCTCATTGACGTATTTCTCCTCTCTCATGGCTGCATCAATAGATTTGGCTTACCATTGGCTAAGAGAATGGACAAAACTACCTCTGATCACTTCCCCATTCTCTTGGACTTTGGGCAAAAGAGCTGGGGCCCAGTCCTTTTAGATTTGAGAACATGTGGTTGGGCCATAAATCTTTCCAACCGTACGTTGATAATTGGTGGCAAAACAAACCCTCTTTTGGATGGTCAGGACATGGCTTGATGATGAAGCTCAAATCCCTAAAGCTTGCTTTGAAAGTCTGGAACAAGGAGCACTTCGGTTGCTTGCAACCACAGAAGGACAGCATCATCAAGCTGCTGAATTCTTTCGACGAGCTCGAAGGACAAAGCCCCCTTTTACCAGGCCAAATCTTGGAAAGGAACAAGGCTAGGGATGACCTACTCGCCCTAGCTGCACAGGAAGAAGTTTTCTGGCACCAAAAATGTAAACTGAACTGGTTGAGGGAAGGGGATGAAAACACAAAGTTCTTCCATAGATTCCTTGATAACAAAAGAAGAAGAAACACTATCACTGAAATTCTTTCCAGAGATGGTACCAGCCTTACACACATCAACAATATTGAAAAGGAATTTATAGATTTATACACCTCTCTTTATACTAGAAAGGAAGGTCAGAGAAGCTGCCCCACAAACCTGCCATGGGACCTGATCACACATGAGAACAGCGCCATGTTCGAGATGAAATCCACAAGGCGGTTAACTCCCTTGGATCCGACAAAGCCCCCGAGCCGGATGGATTCACTGCAGAGTTTTTCAAAAAATCATGGAACACCATCAAGTCTGATATTTTGGTCATGTTCCAAGATTTTTTTAAAAATGGGATCATCAAACCCGCCCTAAATGAGACTTACATATCCCTTTCCCAAAAGGAAAGGTGCCAAGACTGTCCATGATTTCCGGCCTATCAGCCTCATCCCATGCGCCTATAAAATTATTGCTAGGGTCCTCTCCGAGAGGCTAAAAAAGGTGCTATCTAGTACCATCACGGAGTACCAATCTGCCTTCGTAGAGGGACGACAGATTCTCGACTCCTCCCTCATTGCTAATGAGATTGTTGATGATTGGCATGCTCGGAATCATAAAGGAGCAGTGATACAACTTGATCCCGAGAAAGCCTTTGATATGGTTGATTGGGATTTCTTAGACACTGTGATGTACCACAAAGGTTTTGGGAATAAATGGAGGAAATGGATCCAGGCATGTATATCAACAACGAGCTTCTCCATTATTATCAATGGCAAAGCTAGAGGCAAGTTCACAGCTACCAGAGGCCTAAGACAAGGGACCCACTCTCCCCTTTCCTCTTCATTATGATCACCGATGTCCTAAGTCGTATGCTCACCCATGGAGAAAGTCGAGGCCAAATAGAAGGTTACTCATCTAGATGTGGCTTGATTAAAATTAACCATCTTCGTTTTGCAGATGACACGCTCCTTTTTACTAGTATGGATTGCTCAAAGATCACGAATCTCCAAAAAATTATCAAATCTTTTGAGGTTGCCTCGGGTCTCAACATCAACTACAGCAAATACGGTGTCTATGGAGTCTCCATTGATCCACAGATCACTACTCTCCTCGCAAAGGCTTGGGGATGCAAAATAGGCGCTTGCCCTTGCACTTATTTGGGTCTCCCCTTAAACGGAAATCCTAGGAAGGATTCCTTTTGGCATCCCATCATCGAAAAATTACAGAACCGGTTGAGCAGATGGAGCAACAACTTTATATCAAAAGGGGGAAGGCACACTATCCTTCAATCTGTTTTATCCAACCTTCCCACTTATTACCTTTCTCTTTTCAGCTTGCCAAGAAAGGTGGCAGACCAAATCAGCAAAATCTTTCGGGATTTCTTATGGGAAGGACCAATTACAAACGGCAAGCCCCATCTTGTTAATTGGAACCATGTCCAGCTTCCCTTGATTGATGGTGGCCTGGGCGTTGGCAACATCAAACACAAGAATAATGCTCTGCTCTCCAAGTGGATTTGGCGATTCATAAATGAGAAAAACCACCTTTGGAGAACTTTCATTTCTGCAAAATATATGAGATCTTCCACAGACGCTTGGCCCACAATCTACTCAACTGGCTACAAAGGCCCGTGGATATCCATCCAACAACAAACACACTTAATCAAGGACTTTGCTCACTGCAAAGTGGGGGAAGAAAGGCATTGCTGTTTTTGGAGGGATAGATGGCACCCCCTGGGGCCATTAGCCAGCCTTTACCCAAAGCTTTTTGCCCTAACCACAAACAGAGACGCCAGAATTGGTGATCATTGGGACAAGGTTACCTCTTGTTGGGTATATAGCTTCCATAGACTTTTTAAAGACGAGGAATTCGATGACTGGCTTCACCTATCACTCATAATTGATGAAATTGTCCCTTCCCCTGGTGAAGACAAATGGTTTTGGCCTCTTGATCCAAGTAAAGCCTTCACTACCAGCTTTGTCTTCAAGCTCCTGTCATCGGTCGGTACCCACAATGGATCCTCCCTTTGCCCCACTCTTTGGCAAGATAAATGTCCCAAAAAGGTTAAGTTTTTCTGCTGGGAACTCAGTCACGGGGCCGTGAACACTTTTGATCGAATTCAGAAGAGGCTACCACACATCTCTCTCTCTCCAAGTTGCTGCCACCTCTGTTTCAGTGCATCGGAGTCAGTGGGACATCTCTTTATCAGCTGCAACTTTGCATCAAAATTTTGGGGACATCTTCTATCCATCTTCGGCTAGAAGACAGCTCTTCATAACGTACCATCCATCTTCCTTGACTGTCTCTTGGCTGGCCATCCATTCAAAAAGAACAGAGCTACTCTTTGGATCCTTTTCATCAAAGCCTTCCTTTGGAGTTTATGGCTTGAAAGGAACAGCAGAGTCTTTAACAACAAATCTGTTTCTTTTGATTCTTTTTTGGATAGAGTGACTGTACTTGCTTTTGGTTGGTGTAAAAGTTTATATTCACCCTTCACTTCTTACACCCTTAACGACCTTTTCATCAATTGGAAGGCGTTTTTGTAACTGCCCTTGTGGCATTTTGTATATTTCATATCATCAATGAAATACTCATTTCATATCAAATTTTTTTTTTCAAGAATGCCTCATAATTTATAAAACAACAAATATTAAAATTTATAGTTTAGATAGACGTAAACATCACAGCAATTTATCTTTAGTTTCACATGCACATATTTAGGTTTAGTTAGTTTTTTTTTTAATTTTAATTTATATATATATATATATATATATATAATATAATATAAGAAAAAAAAGAATTGTTAAGAAATCCTTGAGAGTTGGTTATAAGAACCTTGCTAACAAACAAGACCCATAGAACACAATCTGAAAAACCCCAAAAACAATTATGGAATCAACCCAAGGAAAAGTTTTAGAATGGATTACCTTGATGATCAGTATAACGAGCAGAGAAAACTCGTTTCTAAACTTGTGATTCGAATCACTCCTCAAGAGGTTTGATCAACGCCACTGGAATAATCCTAACATGCAAATTTTAAAGTCATAAGAAATTGCACAAGATATGGGAGATAAAAGCTCTCAACCAAGCTAATGAGAAAACTCACTTTTCATTCAACTTCAAATTGTAGTGAATTGTTCCAACATCTTGCACATCTTCCTTTAAGTCCTTTGTCGAGCTTACCAACGCTTGAACACGAAGTAGTAAGGCTTGTTGAAGTTTCCGAGCTTTTGATCTTGTAATCGGTCCGTGAGGCATGACAAAGGGAGTTCTTTGTTCATATCAAGAATAAATGGAGCTGAGCCCCATTCCGTCCCGGCAGGAAACGTAACACTCGTATTATCAATTATGTAAAGCTTCTACCTGATTTGAAGAGAAGATTTATGTACTATTGACCAATGACCTCTTATTTGCCTCCCATTTGGAACATTGTTGCTTTTCAACTACTTAGAGTTGGCTGATTGATAAGTTCTATAGGGGCTGCTTTTATTTGTTCTTGTATTTTGTATGATCATCTATTTCATTATACTATGAATATAATCACATCTTTCTAATAACTGTTGTATCTTTTGACACTTGTCAGTGATCTAATCTATGATTTTCTGAATATACTGAGCAAGCGGTTGACAGAAATTGATGTTTCCACCATCCTGACAGTCTTACAATGTAAGTTGAGTGCAAGTTAGATATAATTCCTTTAGGGCATCATCTCCTTGAATTTTTAATCTACGAGTCTTATTTCACTTGGAATTTGGATTTTGGCGTACTTTTCAAAATGTTTAGGTCCTAGTTATATTTTAAATTTATTATCCTTTTTTTCTGAAGATTTTGTTGTTAGTGGTACCATTCCTAGTGATTCCTTGAACATTGATCGCCTCAAGGTTGTGCATTACGGTGAAAGGCCTGCCCTTGCATTTAACCACTTAAAATTAATATATTAAGTAGTTTCATAAGTTTCCTCATTGGCAAAGGTTGTTGAGTTTGGTGGTTGTCCTTCAAATATTGTGAAAATTAAAAAATATGGAGACTTCTCAGTGTACATGTGTGTGTGTGTGTGTGTGTATATATATATATGTAAAAAAGAAGATGCATTAGATCATGTTTATTTTGTAGTTTTCCTGGTGCGGAGCAGAAAAATTTGGGTTGGGTTTCATCTTGAATTTGGCTATGAATGGATGTTAATGTAATGGATAGAGGATTCTAAGCTTCAAAAATTCTTGTATTTTCTAACAAAAATATCATTCTAAATGATTGTCTACGACTCCAATGTTGTAAAATTTTTGGCAACAGAATATTGGTATATAACTTAAACCATCTTGAATTCGACAGGTTGTGGAATGAAAATAAGGGGTGATGATCCCACTGCAATGAAGAATTTTATTATTAGTGTTCAAAGTAAGGTTAATGAATTAAAGTCAGCCTCTGGAGATGGTCCACAAAATATCAATGGAAGGAGAGTGAGTCTCTGGATAAGTAATATTTCGTTTACCTGTGTCTTTTAGTCAAATTTTTTAATGTTATAAATTATAATGTTCATGAATGCAGATGGAGTTCATGCTTGAGACCATATGTGACATCAAGAATAACAAGAAAAGACATAAGGATGATCCTGCACACCATACACGGATAAAGAAATGGCTACAAAAGGTCTTGCTTGTTCTCTCTTTAGTGGTTACCGTATTTTGAAGTGTAGATCTCTACTTGCTAGATAGTTGCATTTTATAGAGTCAATATTTTACTTCAAAAGTAGACCTGATGATTTATTAGGGTCAAGTGGGATAGATTTGTTGGTCTAATAATGCAACAGACAGTGAAATACTCAATTTGAGATTTTTAGTGAAATACTCAATTTGAGATTTTCTTTTCTTTCTTACAGGTTTCTCTACAATATTTGGTTGTCATAGAGTTCATAAGATTATAAAATTTTAATACCTCAAGTAGGTGTCCATCAACATAAGCATAGCTCAATGGTTAAGGCATTTAGTCATTCCCTTGAAGTCGGAGATTTAAATTCCCACCTATTCTCACGTTTGTTATACTAAAAAAAAACTCAAATTGGTGGCAACTACGAGTTTACGACCTTACTTGAACACGATCTATTTTATAGGTTGCACATCTGCGATCTAGAGTTTTAAGGTGGCCACTATGAGTTTGAACTCATTTTCTCTCACCAAAGTCCCTCCACCTTTTTGTCACATGGCCCAATGCTGCAAGGCCAACTCATTGTTGTTTGCTCCATTTTGAGTCTTTTAATGAGTCATAACCTTATAACTAGAAGTGACTTGGGTTTGCCATGGGAAGTAGGATAGTATATTGTGAGGTATTATACTCACTTTTGGAATGTATATACAAAGAAACAAGCCCGAAGGCGTTACAAGCACTCCACCAATTCGAGAGGGTGGGTGTTCTCTCCAAAACCGCTACTGAGCACTCATTTCCAAGATGCTCTCCCCTTGCTCCCAGACCTTCTTTTCTACTCCCCTACTATTCTATTCATGGGCCCCACTCTCCCAAAACCGTTATTTCTTTCCCTTTGTACAAGTTACTCGATTGCCCCTAAACAATCCCCTTTCTACCCCTCCTATAATATGTTTTCTCAATCGGAGGCCTAACAATTGCCCCCCGTTCACATCCAGCTTGTCCTCAAGTGGGAAATCACGAAATTGGTGCTGCATAGTGTGGTAAGTCTCCCAAGTAGCTTCTTCTTCAGGTAAGCCCCTCCATTTAACTAGGGCTTCTTGCTCTCCAGTATGCTCATTGATGCCTGTCGCAAATACCTCCTCTGGCTCTGCCATCCATTCCAAGTCATCCGTCAGTTGCGGGGGGGAAGGTGTTGCACCGGTAGGTTGTCTCCAACTGCTTTATTGAGCTGGGAGACATGGAAAACCGGGTGAATAGTGACCTCTGTAGGCAATTCCAATCGATAAGCCACCTTGCCGATGCGCTGTAAAATGCGGTATGGGCCAAAGAACTTAGCAGCCAGCTTCTCATTCCGTTTCTTAGCCAGAGATTTCTGTCGATAGGGCCTAATCTTTAAGGATACTTCATCGCCCACGTTGAGCTCCTTTTCAGTGCGGTGGCTATCCGCCATCTTCTTCATCCGGTTTTGAGCGCGCAAGAGGTTGTCTTTTGAGAGCAGCCAGGGCAATGTCTCGGTCAGCCAGCTGCTGATCCAAAGTGGCATTTGTTGTCTTTTGACTGCCATAGGACAAGAGAGGCGAGGGTGGGTGTCCATACACGGCCTGGAATGGCGTTGCTCCAAGAGAGCTGTGAAAGGTGGTGTTGTACCGGCCCACGACAGCCATTGTCCCCATGTTCTTGGCGCCTCACTACAGAAACAACGTAGATAAGTTTCCGACACTTATTCACGATTTCTGTTTGGCCATCCGTTTGTGGATGGTAGGCCGTGCTTCTCTTCAACTTGGTCCCTTGAGTTCGGAACAATTATGTCCATAAATTTGTTCCAGAAATTACTAAGGAAGATTTTGTCTCTGTCTGATATGATGGATTGAGGGAATCCATGGAGGCGAACCACTTCCTTGACAAACGCAGCAGCAACCGTCTTGGCGGTAAAGGGGTGACACAGTGAAATAAATGAGCATACTTGCTCAGGCAATCCACCACAACAAACACGGTGTCATGTCCGACTGATTTAGGCAATCCCTCTGTGAAGTCCATGGTGATGTCTTCCCATATGTGGTAGGTATTACTAATGGTTGCAGCAAACCCGCCGGTGAGACCATCAAGGTCTTGTTCCGCTGACAAACAAAGCATTCCTCCACAAACTTTTTGTTGTCCGTCTTCATCCCAGGCCAATATAATTCACCGGTGATTCGCTTATATGTTCGCAAGAAGCCAGAGTGTCCTCCCATAATGGAATTATGGTACAAATGTAGAATTGCTGGCTTTAAGGTTGATGTGCTGGGTATAGCCAGTCGACTCTTGTAGTGTAACACCCCATGTTACAAGCTATATTTGGGGTGACTATCCGGATCTGTCATTAGGTTAGCGATGATCTTGGACATCGTGGGATCTGCTTGGACCTCTACTTTCAGGATTTCGACATCTAACAAGGTAGGCACGGATAGAACCTCGAGGTACGGGTCAGAGGGTAGTCTAGAAAGGGCGTCGGCAGCCTTGTTCTCCAATCCGGGCTTGTACTGAATTTCGAAATCATAGCCCTGGAGTTTGGACACCCATTTCTGGTACTCGGGCTGGACTATACGTTGTTCAAGAAGATACTTGAGTGCTCGCTGATCTGTCTGCACAATGAAACGCTGGCCTAGCAAGTAAGGACGCCATTTCTGGATGGCCAAGGTTACGACCATTAACTCGCGCTCATAGACGGATTTAGCTTCCCCTTGGCCTCTGTTCTTTCATGAGAACTGCCCCTAAGCCGGTTCAGAGGCGTCGGTTTCAACCACGAAAGGCAGGTTGAAATCAGGCAAGGCAAGGACAGGCAACGTTACCATGGCTGTCTTTAGCGCCTCAAAGGCTTCGGTAGCTTGTGGTGTCCACTCAAAGGAGTCTTTTTATAACAGTTGAGTGAGAGGCGTTGCGAGAGTCCCATAGTTCATGACGAACTTCCTGTAGTACCCGGTTAGCCCAAGGAATCCTCTTAGCTCTTGAAAATTAGTTGGTATCGGCCACTGTAGCATTGCCCTGATTTTTTCCGGATCGGCCTCTACTCCTTCCGCTGAGACCCAATGTCTCAAGTACTCCACCCTATCTTGAGCGAAGCTGCACTTCCTCATGTTGGCGTAAAGAGAATTGTCTCGCAATAAGTTGAAAACCATAGTCAAGTGAGCGACGTGATTGTTCGTCAAGGTTGTACACTAAAATGTCATAAAAAAACACGAGGACAAATTTGCGGAGGAAGGGTCGGAATACCTGATTCATCAAAGACTGGAAGGTTGCTGGCGCATTAGTCAGCCCAAAAGGCATGACGAGGAACTCATAGTGTCCCTCATGGGTTCTGAAAGCGGTCTTCTGCACGTCTTCAGGTGCCATACGAATCTGGTGGTACCCCGACCTTATATCTATTTTCGAATAGATGTGGGATGCATGGAGCTCATCCAAAAGTTCATCGATAACCGGGATGGGGAATTTATCTGGCACCGTGACGTTATTCAATGCTCGGTAATCTACACAGAACCTCCAACTCCCGTCCTTCTTCTTTACTAAAATCACCGGGCTAGAGTAAGGGCTCACACTTGGTTGAATCAGTCCCTTTTGAATCATCTCATCAATCATTTTTTTCGATCTCTGCTTTCTGTGCGTAGGCATAACGATAGGTCTGACATTCAATGGTGGCTCCCCCTCTTTAATAAGGATCTTGTGGTCAATGGGACGCGGTGGAGGCATTTGCTCTGGGGCTGGAATACATCACTATACCCTTCTAGCAGCTATTGTATCACTGGGGCCATCTCTAGGTCTCTATCTTCTGCTTGAGTCAGTTGCTCTGCCCCAAGTGTCGTAAGGGTACGTAGCTCCACAAGAAAACCTTGGTCAGACTCCTGCCATGAGCGGGTGAGACATTTAAGTGAGACCTCGATGCGAGCTAGAGTTGGATCCCCTCTAAGGGTGATTCTCTTTTCCACTCGAGTGAAGGGCATGGTGAGAGTTGGCCAATCGGCCTCCATTCTCCCCATAGACTGCAGCCACTTCATCCCCGATATGACATCTAAATCATTTAATTCAATGGGCAAGAAGTCTTCGACCACTGTGATATTTGGTAGCTCCATAATTACTCCACAGCACACTTCCTGTCCCTTCACTGCCATTCCCGTGCCCGTTATGATCCCATAGTTATGGGTGTCTGATTGAAGGATTCCCAGCTCCTGCACCAACTTCTGGGAGATAAAATTGTGGGTAGCGCCACAGTCCAAAAGGACAATTACTTCCCGTCCTTGTATCGTCCCTTTTATTTTGATCATTCCCGGTATTGTGAGGCCAACTGTAGTATTCAATCGACACATCACAACTTTTCTTTTTTCTTTGGATCGATCCTTTATTAGAGCTTCTGCTGTAGGATCGAATGGCAACACTAAAGGGGGGTGAATAGGGTTTCTTACCACTTTTTGAAAATTAAAAATAAATTTAATGTAATGAACAATTATGCAATCAATAAAAGAAGATTAACAAGAAGAGGAAACATTGAACAAAATATTTAAGTAAACCTATATGCAATCTACCAAGATTCAAAGTAGATAAATACTGAATTTAAAAGAGAGAAGAGAAGAGAGTGGTGACACCGAGAATTTTTATAGTGGTTCGGAAATTCCTACTCCACTCCCCAAGACTCCTTCTTGGGTATTTTACTGCAGTGGCTCTCTTAACGGGTGAGAACCAAACCGAT